ACTGTAAACCTAAAAATTTACAGCCAATTTTTAAAAAGATACATCTTAGCTCAGAAAATTGTTACTGAATATATCAATGTTGTTGTAATGAAATGCTTCTTCTAAGTATGTGGTTATTAAATAAATAACTAACTGGCAAAAAAAAAAATACAGAGATTACAACTGTCAAAAAAATAAAATGAACATATTCCTCAATTTAGCAATTTATACTTGAACATTATTTCCACATATAATGCAGAGACAGGTACAGGAACACTTACTGAAACTGATTAGGAACCTTCTTTAATTTAAATTTATATCATATAAAAGACTTATGGAAGCTGGGCATGGTGGTGTACGCCTGTAATCCCAGCACTTGGGAGGCAGAGGCAGGAGGATCTCTGAGTTCAAGGCCAGCCTGGGGCTATAGGGAAACCCTGTTTCAAAAAGACCAAAACAACCCCACCCCCCAAAAAAAAACAGTTTATAGAAACAGAATCCAACGTGAAATAAATTCTCTGAAGTGGTGTTAGATTATGTGTCCTGTAATTATAATGTAGACCTCAGTTAATTCCCTGTATCTTAAGTGATAGGTTACATTCTACTTGAAGGACAAACTAAATGCCTTTACACAGATATTAGCTAAAATATGACTTTTTTCTTAGGTCTACTATAATCTTCATCAAGTAAAATCAGATATAACTTCTCCCTAAGATAACCAAATTTTAAGGCTATTGAGTATTTTCTTCAACTACTAAAATCTATCACATGAAACACCTCATCCTTACTGAAGTCTGGTGAGGCTGAATATTTGAAGACGGGAAGTGTCTTAAGAACCTCACTGAAACAGAAGGCAGCCCACTCTGCAGTGCTTCTTCCAGTGCACGGAGCACAAGCATGTATCACACTAACCAGAAGACTGAAGTGAGAAGGGACAATTTGCTTGCTATGAAGTACAATCCCTATCTCCTACTCCCATGGGAAAATGTTTGACTATGCAAAGATGGGATTTCTCTCCTCTTCCTCCTGACCATATGGGTAGATTTCTAGCCCTTTTTGTTATATAACAGTGTCACTGACTCTAAGAGAGCCACCTAAGGAGTGACTCACCTTTCAACTGTGTGTCCTCTACAGGTAGCTTAGGCCTCTACTACTTCTCCATTTAGCTGACTTTCCACGGGAGACAACACAAGTAACAACAACTGTTCAGGCAATCACACCTGTGCTTGTAAAGGTATTCTGAGAGCAACCAATTGTCTGCTATTTTCCTAAATTTGTATTCTTGCTAAGTCTCATCTTCTTTCTTTACAAAAAGGAGATGATAACCCTTCAGGATTTCTATAGGATTAATATTTTTTAAAAAATTAACACAGTACCAAGTAGCAAGACTAGTTGCCTGTAAAACAGTTTGTATTATAGTGCATAGAACATAAACTTATAGAATCATTTAAGTTCAGAACAGAAAGTAGGAGCATTGATCTACCTTAGTTCTCTCATCTTTCAGACAAGGAGACTCGCATATTGCTGGAAAACTGCCCAGTGGTCCCTACAGTTCTCCTAAACCCCAAGTCATCATTGCAGTTATCATACGTACACATCTTATAGATGAGACAATGGGGAAGAAAAGGGAAAAATTCTGAGAATTATTTCTAATTCTCATTTTTGTTTTCAGCAAATATACTTCCCATGTTCAGTAGAAAAGATGCTTCCATGAAAAATGAGAGTTGTCAGTTGTAATGTTTCCAATTTATGAGTTGTTTACAGAATAGTTTCACAGCTTACTAAATGATTTTTTTTACATTTATTTATTTTGTGGGGGCATGGAGTGGGAGAAGCAAATGTGGAAGTTAGGAAGTTAGGAAAGAACCTATTCCCAAAAGTTCTCAGAAACCAAATTCAGGTTGCCAGCCTTGGTGGCAAATGCTTTACCCACTGAGTGGTATCACTAGATGATTAATTTTTAAAATAATTATTAAAAATTTCACTTTATAAATGCTCCTCTCACCAGCCCTCAAGAAAATGATATATTAACCTATCTTTTTAAATAATATTTATTTTTTTCCAAAATATTTTATTTAGCTGAAACTAAGTTTCTTTTTTTAAAGGATGTATTGTTACTACCTCTGAATGAAATGAGATGATGTTTCAAAATTACTTCAGAATAACATAGGATAAAGGAGTTTGGTAAGATGGGTGTATAAAGGAAATGAGATTGGACATGAATTAATTACTGAACTGTCTGATAAGCTCGTGGACATTCAATAGCACTATTTTGTCTACCTGTGACTATATACATTTAAGATTTCCTATAATAAAGTTTTTAAAGTTATACTTAAAAAGGAAGAAACAATGCCAGGCATGGTGGTGCATGCCTTTAATCCCAGCACTCAGGAGGTAGAGGCAGGTGGATCTTGTGAATTCAAGGCCAACCTGGTCTACATAGTGAGTACCAGGCCAGGTGGGGCTACAAGGAGACCCTGTCTCAAAAAGACAAAAAGAAAAAAAAAAAAAAGGAGGAAACAAACTCTAAATTAAAACTACTCAAAACTAAAATTATATTGTTGAAGAGATTTTATTTGTTCTTTAAAACAGAGTCTCACTATGTAGACCCCATGGAGCCTCAAACCTACTACCATCCTCCAGCTTCAGTTGGAGGCATACCACCACACCCAGCTAAAATTACAGCTTAATAACCATTGTTTTTGCTACTTTTGAGAGCACAGTCATTTATCTGAAGAGGTTCGAATGAATAAATATATATTGGGTACAATACACACACACACACACACACACACACACACACACACACACACATTAAACAGGAGAAAAAAAAACGGACTAGCCATCACCTCAGATCCCTCAAATTCCCCAAACTAGTTGAGCATTCGCTTGTCAGACTAGTAATACGATAATGCTAGAGCAGCACTATGAGAAGAGTGGTGCGGAAGGACAAAAATAGGATTAATTCATTGTGCTTATGAAAACACAGTGTTAATGACAACTTCCTAAAGAGAATGCCATTTGAAGACTGGATTCTTTAACTAGTGGATGGACAGTGGAGTGCGTTCAGAAATTCAGAGCAGGAAGATACACTGAGCAAAAACAAAAGGTGAAAAAGAGAACAAGGTGTGTACTCAGAACTTCAAGTAGCCAGTGGCATCTCCAGGGTGCTGATGGGTAGGGTAAAGGTAGGGCAGGGACAGATCAGTAAGACGCCCATGGCCATATTTTATAAAGCTTCACATGTCAGACTAAGTAACATGAACACCGTGCCCATCAAAGTTTTAAGGCAGAGAATGGACATCCTCTAAACTTCCCTGCACTTTAGAAATATTACTCTGCTGGAAGTGTACAGATGACAACCAGAAAAGATAAAGGTCAAACACAAAGAATATCTGCTAAAAAGATGGGGGTCTAGACCAAGGTAGCAGCAGCAGGGGTTGAGTAAGCTGGCAAATAATCAGGAAGTGCAAGGAACAGGACTTAGCACGAGGCTGTGTGGTGAAGAGAGTGAAGAAAAGAAGAAGGGAACGGAGTGGTAAGGTTCGGAGTATTGCTTTTCCTCTAGGTCACAGAGTCTGGGTGAATAGTGATGCTGGTAAGCAATACATGGGATACAGGGGAAAAAATGAAGACAGTAAGATCAGGTTTGTTGCTAGATAAAAACGGGCTAATGCCGGTGTGGTGGCACACGCCTTTAGTCCCAGGCATCCCAGGCAGAGGCAGGCACGGATCTCTGTGCATTCAAAGCCAGCCTGGTCTACATAGTGAGTTCCAGGACAGCTGGAACTACAGGGAGACCCTGTCTCAAAAAGACCAAAAAAAAAACCAAAAAACCCCGGCTATTAACATCTTATCTAGCGGATAATTTTCGACTTTGTATAGTTATGTGTGGGAGGCAACTGCATTAGATATATGTACTAAGAAGCAGAAAAAATTGCACAGAGAATACAGGATATCCCAAGCTATCTCAATTAGGCCTTTTACATACAAATTTCAAGCCTTTTCTGCTTTGGACTTTGTGTTTATTCCTTTACATTCTTAACTTTTAAAAAGTATATAACCAGGTCTAATAGTGACACATGACTTAGGAGGTAGAGGCAGAAGAATCAGGACTTTTACGCTATTTAGCAACTTTGAGACCAGCTTGGGGTATAAGATACCATGCCTTAAAAAAAAAGTATATAGTATATAGTCCCACAATCCACTTCCCATTTTCTGTCATTTCTTTACAAACAGTACACAGTAGATTCAACACTGACCAAATCAAAGCTGTAGTTTCAACTAAAAAAGTCAAAGCAGGACTTCTAAATCCACTAGATGAGTGAACCACCAGACCTTGGGCAAACATACAAAACATCACCAGCTATCTTTTCATACTAGGGGACTCAGATGCACCAATGTAAAAGTAAGTAAATTACTTTACACACCTTGATAGGCAACATCCCAAGTTACTCACCAGGCCTTTGATCCTGTTCCAGTACACAAATTGAGCCCTGAACTCTTCTGTTTTTCCCATGGGCCATCATCAACTGAAATTTCATAGTAGGAAGCTCTATGAATTAAAAATAGAAAAGTGTTTGCTGATCTGTTAAGGGTTCTATTGAATAAAACAAATAATAGCCTTCAAAATTCATGAAATCTAAGTGAATCAACTTGACCAAGACATATCTGACTTAGTAGGTACAAACATCATGGTGCTAATTCTAATGCTGATTAAGTGAACAAAGCAGAAGGAAAAGAAAAAGAAAAAACCCTTTCCTTATCTACATGCCTTTCTGATCCAGATGCCTCCTTTCTATAAATATTTCAGACAGGGACTTGCAAATTTTTACCTGCATTGCTGTGTACTCTTGTACAAAGAGCTTCCTTTCAAAACTCAAAACAGAAAATAACATCCCTAAGTTGAGTGTCAGTCTTGATGCCTAGTACCTGATATACCTAAATCTATATCTAAGTCTTTGTGTTATCAACAGTACCTGCTAAATTCCTGTTTCTTAAGCTATGTGCTATCATGCTATTTTAACTGGTAGTAAGCTAACAGATAATAAAAGTTGTAAAGAAAATTCTCAACCAATTCTAAACCAGTGGACAAAACAATAAAATCAGAAGGATAAGTCTTGAGAAACTGACATATTAGAATACTTGATAAATATGAAAATAAATGGCTTTCCTGACACCAGCAAACGTGACACTGTTCTTAAAACAATGGATGAGCCAAAGAACTTTTGAAATATGTAAAAGCCTACTTCGTAAACTCTATCTTAAAATAATGGTGTCATTGATCAACACTAGACTATGTTTTTCCAGCAAATTAAAAAGTTTAAATCTTAGTAAAATATGATTTTTCAAATTAAGAGTTACTAGCCGTGTTTGCAGAAATAACACTATGGCAATTTTTCTCTTATTCTAAATTTTCAGCTTCTTCTGCAAGCTCCTAACTTTTGAAAGTTTTGCATGATGCACCTTCTTATCATTGTTTCTCTTGTTGCTGGTCCTTGTAAGATAGCAGGCCTGAGAGTCACATTTGCTCTAGTTCATAGCTCAGTTTTATCTGCTGGAAAATGCACATCAGGAGCCTATTACAAACAGACAAGCCAGCTACATTCACAGAAATGTCTGCTACCATGCTAGAATGAAGCAGGAACAAGAGAAGACGTGAGAGTGGGGAGAAGAGACTCAGAAGAGAACCAGCCAGGGGAAATTATAGCCAGGTGGGAGATGCTGAGCCCAAAATGATGTGCAGATTAAGTATCATTCTACATGCAGGTTTGTTGAGATTAGTCAAATCAGAAAATTTTTGTTGGGGGGGATGATTATTTTTTTAAGGCAGCAATAAAACTCACAGTCCCTTTAGAGTGGGTATACTTCTTCTTAAATTGTCCACTGCTACAGCCCAAGAATAAGGCATTCTAGGGTGGAACAAATAAAAGAAAAGAAAAAAAAAAAGGGCTTTTCAAATGTTCTTAAGTCTAAGAACATTATTAAGTGAGACAGGAATAATATTGCTGCACTTCATATTTTTCAAGCAAAGCACTTAAGTTTTTGGAGCACAGTGAAGCCTCAACACAGTCTCTGGAATCAGAAATAATGGCCTCATCTCACAGCTCTGCTTCTAACTAGTTATGTGGCCTAGGCATGTTATTTGAACCTCTGGATTTCCGTATTTTCGCTAATAAATACAACTGTCTTTCTCCTGGGGTTGCCATGAGCATTAAGATGATATAATATGTGCAGCTTGATATATAGCAGGCATTTCATTCATTCTGGTTTTGCTTAAAGGTCTAAATGTCAGAATCTTTAAAAGCTCTAAAATCTCTATAATAATTACACTGTGTTCAACAGCATCAGAACTGAACTTACTGTTTATCTTATAAAGATATAGGATGAGACATCAAAGGAAAAAAAAAGCAGCAGCAGCAGCAGCAGTCACCCTATGAAACTTCACTGACTCCCCATCAGTCCATCATCTAAGCCTAACTCTCCTCCTTTCTAAGGTGTTTATTTCCTCAGTAAGTACAAAGTATAAAGCAATGCAGGCAGTGGCTCACAGCAGTTAACCATAGCTTCTTACCAAATGCAAACAATAAATGAACTACCAAATGGCTTTCCTAGAGTAAACACAAACTCACAAAACCTTTTACCTTCCTCATGCATTTTAACTTGACTTTTTCCAATTGCCTTTCACAGGAATGATTAGAATATCACTAGTTCAAGTTTCATTTTCCCCTTATCTCTCTATCAAACAGTAGAAACTATTATCATCTCCATATTGTCTGAAAAATGATATGCAACAAAAGAAAAAACTTCTTATATATGTATATCTCACAAGTTAAAAGGAATTTACACTTTACACTGTAATATTAAGTTTCTTGCAAATACCTTGGAAAAATGAACTTCACTTCTAACATTTTTAAAACTTACATATTTACCAAATTCCAAGAATTTAAGGTGCCATTACCTTTCTCATACCCATCTTTGTGTCTCTAGTGGCTTGCACAGGGTACATAACAGGCACTCACTATATTTTTATTGAATAAATATTACAATAAAACAATTATAATTCAAAAAGACTGTTCAAATCATTCTGCCTAATTAGTCATCTTTCTAATGTAACCTGGATTGATAATAAAACTATTAAAGCTATTTATTTAGTATTGGCTAGAATGTGGATATCTTTTTTAGCTTTGATGAATCCTTTTCATCATAAGCTCCCTGTGAAAAGATATGACGTGAAACAATCAGATTAGTAAATGTTCATAAATTAAAACTAGAAATTCAATTACATGGCTCTCAAAGGGTCACATGGTTGTAGTAACAGGGAAAAAGGACATAAAACTCATCTCTAAATTACAACTAATCTATTTATCATTTGAAAAATGAGAAATCAATCTCTAAAGTACGACATACGGTTAACGTTACACTTTATGGTTATTTTATAGTGAGTAACTTTTTAAAAAGGTTTGTAAGAGCTGTTGGTAACTTAAAACAAAGTTATACTACTTTGCCAGTAACAATGTATATGCTACATTTATTCCTAATAAGAAATTATACTCAATTAAATATTTACTAACAATGACTATAATCTGTGTGTGTGTGCGCGTGTACATATGTGTGTACTATGTGTGTGTGTCTGTGTGTGTCTGAGTGTGGTACTGGGGGCTAAACCTAGAGCCTCACACACATTAGGCAAGCACTTTGCCACTGAGATATTTGCCCCCAGCCCTTAAGAAATACTACAATCTCGAATTATAATTTATTGCCTTATGCTGTGTTACACTAAACAGGGTTTACTATCAATCCTACCAAAAATGCTTCACTTGAAGACTGTACAATGAAAGAAAAGTCATTCAAACATAAAATAAAGTGTATCCTGCAAATCAACTAGCTTAAAATATTCAAAAACATTAGGATCACAAAAGACAAAAAAAAATAGGATGGGACTAAGAAACTATTATTAATTTTAAAGCCACAATGGCAAAATGAAGTGCATGATTCATAATTGGATCCTGGATAGAAGAACAAGCAAATAAATCAGTTTTTAAAACAGTAAGTGGAGAAATTTTTCTCTTTTGGGTGTTGGGAGAGGGACCAGTTTTCACTATGTTGCCCAAACTATGGCCCCAAGTCCTATGCTCCAGCAATCTTCCTGCCTCAGCCTCCTGAGCAGCAGAAAGCACAGGTCTATGCTTCTATACTCAGCTTTAGTACAGAAATTTTAATGACTGACAAAATCTGTGGATAAATGTGTGCCTAGTATATCACTCTCCTAAGTGCTTATCAAGCACCTTTAATAAAGAAGGACAATAAGGAACCTCAACACCTTTGACATAGGGTTTCATAAACTTCTGAAATAATTTTATTAATTAATTTCTAATACTTACATAATACTACTTATTTACAAATCATAGTCACATTGTAGAAATTAAATGAAAATACCAAAGAAGTACTAAAACATTAAATTCCACATTCAAGATCACAAGCTTAAAGATACCTGGATGAGAGACTCTCCCCAATGAAGACTTCATTTAGTGCTCTCACTGGCAAAAGTTGGGGTCCCGAAGTCTCAGATCCTACAGTAAAAGGGAGGAAATTCAAGACAGTTACTTGAATTTTAGAAATGCTAAAATAATTATAATTTTTATAGTTGATGGCATCATACATATTTATATATGTAAAAATATATGATGTGAGTATATATGAATGTCTGCATGTATTGGAGCACATATATGTGGATGTGCGTACACATGTGGTTATGTGCATGTGGAGACCCAAAATTGGCAGAGAATATCTTCCTTGATTGCTCTGGTCTCCACTTTATCTACTGTGGCAGAGTCTCTCAATTGAACCTGCAACACACTGACTCCAGCTAGTCTGCCTGGAGATCCCACGTCTCTGCCTCTCAGGTGCTACGATTAAGGAGGCAGCCATCTGCCCAGCTTTCACATGGGTTCTGGGATTCGAACTCTAGCCGTCATACTTGTGCAGTAAGTATTGTATCCCCTAGGACATCTCTTTAGCCTGCTCTTGGCAACTGCTTTTAATGAAGGATGAAATAAAATTTCCAGCTGTGATTTTAAAATCTTACTTAGTAATTACTAAAGATTTTCAAAAACAGTAACTGGAATTCATGTGTATATAATTTCTTAAAGATTTATAAAATCAAATGATTTTTAAGGGAAAGAGAATCTTTGAAATGTGACATGCACTCACACTTTAAAAGCATGCTAAATAATAAAACTGGAAATCTCCATGATTAATTCTGAAAGTAGATGCAAACATCCAGCATTATGACAGAATAGAGAAAGAAAGGAGGTATGTACGTAAAGGCAGCTTCTAAGTAGCCTGTCCTGAGGTTTACCCAGAAAATTTTTAAAAAGAAGAAAGTTATCTTATTATAACAGACCATAAATATTTCTTTTGGGATTTTCTTGTACCATAAAGTCTTATAGTTACTAGAAAACAAAAATGAGAAAATATGCTAAACAATAATCCATAAATTGGCACAAGCTGAGTATTCACTTTAACCCTCATATAGAAAAGCTGCAAATCACCATCCAATAATATTCTCCTTAATCTACTTCAAGAAAAATTTTTAGGCTGGAATACAAAATTCTCAAACAAAAAAGGTTTGAATCAACAACTGTAACTACAAGTAAATATGATTAATTATAACCACATAAGATGTGTAATTATGAAATCTTCAACACATTAGCTCAGTTTATCTCTACTGCTTTCCTTTTTTTTTTTTTTTGATGTCAAAGATCTTTACCAAAGTATCAACTATCCTGTCAAGTACTTTATAATTTATCCTAATCAGTTTTTAAACCTGTCCTATAAAACACTTCCTCTAGAAATATGCTCTACTTCTTTTGATTCTGATTATAAAAAATTTTTTTAATTTACTTATTTTTATTTTATGTGTATGAGTGTTTTGCTTGTACACGTGTTAAGTGGACCACATGTCTGCAATGCCTACAGAGGCCAGAAGAGGGCATCAGATCCCTTGGAACTGGAATTATGGGCATTTGTTAGCTGCCTTGTGGATGCTGGGAACCAAACCCAGGTCCTCTTGCCAAAGCAGCCAGTGCTCTTAACCACTGAGCCATCTCTCCAAGTTCCTATAATAAAATTTTAACAAAAACAATTCATTGTACTCTTACGAGTTATCAGTGGCACTAAAAATAAATATAAATTGCCTCAAAAGCTTAGAATCCACACAACTAGAAATTACAGTGTCCCACAGTCAGGCTAATGTTCTGTTTACCTACTTTCATCATCAACCCTTTCAATGTTGAAGGCTCTGCTATGCTGATTCAAGCTCAGCTGCTGTTCATGAAGGTCCACAGGAGTTGGGTTTATGCCAGTCCCTTCAAGGTATAACCTGATACGCTGCCTCCATAACCACCTTAAAAGAGTGAAGGAAAAGAAAGTTATATTAAAATAAAATATACTAAACTAAGAATTAGACATTATAATAACCTCACGAAATTTAAAACTGCATACTAAAAAGCTAATTATTCCACAAATAAATAAGAAACACCTAGCCACAGGTTCCTGTTCAAAGACATATACGGTTATTTCTCTTTCCAGTTATAATGGATATATCTAATAAGCTCATTAAAATCACCCATGGAATTTGAGTCAAGGTCTTTGATAAAAACCATAAGTCCATATGAGCTACACATAGGTATGTGCTAGACATAGGTGAATAAGCTGGACAACCCCCCCCACCAAAAAAATCCTCCCAAATTTCATGATGGTCATTGTTTTTAATCAATAAAAGAAAAAGAGGTTAAGAAGTGATATATGTGGGGCTGGAGAGATAGCTCAGCAGTTAAGAGCTCTTGCTGTTCTTGCAGAGTGCCCAGTTCTGTTCCCAGGACCCACATCAGGTAACACAACCACCTGTAATTCTAGTTCCAGAGGATCTGTTGCAGTCCTTTGGACTTTGTGGGCACTGCACGCACATGGTGCACATACATACACTCAGGGAAACACACATACATATAAAATAAATAAATCTTAAAGAAAAAGAGGACAAATATGTGGCATTTTTTTATCTCATCTAAAGATGCAAATGACATTTGGGGTAAAAACTGACAAAAAGCCAATAATGTTTCATTGATTTCCAAACCAATACTGACGCAATCAAAGCCAAAGGGACGAGTCTCTTAGGTAAATGTACAAGAACATATTCCCAGTTGGTGATTAATTGGTTACCTACGGAGCTTGTAAGTTCCAGGGATGGAATTCAGGTTGTCAGGCTTGGCAGAAAGCACCTTTACTGCTGAGCTATCTCACCAGTCCCCCTACAAATACTCAATAGCACAGTGAGATAACTACAGTTGACAACCATGAATTAAGGATTTCAAAATATCTAGGAGAGGATTTTGAATGCTTTAGTATAAAAACAAAGTATCTGAGGTAATGCGTTATCCTGAGCTGATCACTACAAACATGTACTGAAATGCAGCACTGTATCCAAGAACTGTGCACAAATACTCTGTGCCAATTAAAATTAAAAAAAAATATATTAGAGCAACGTAACCACAAATATCAGGGGGAAAAGCTTCTTTAAGCTATAAAAAGTAGTCTAATTTGGCTTTCTCACATATAAGTGGCTAATCATATCTCAACTTCTCTCTCCATCTGCTGCTTTTTTGATAGTCTAACCACTCAACAGGAAAATTATTTTACTGTGTATGTGAATGTGAGTGTGGTGTATGTGAGTGGGGTGTATGTACATGTGGTGTGTGGAGGCCAGAGGGGGACATGAGTACCCTACTCTACTACTCTCTGCTTATTCCTCTGAAACCATGTCTCTCACTGAACCTGAACTTAGACTCGCCCCAAAGAGCCTTCAGTCTCTGCTCCCCACAGTGCTGGGGTTATAGGAGTGTGGGCCAGGCATAGCTTCTTATGTGGGCTCTGGGGATTCGTACTTGGGTTCTCGTGTTTACAGAGCCCTGAGAAATATGTTTTTAAAAATTCCATCCCCACTGCTTCATAAATACTTCATGTATATAATATTCGAGGAAGTAGAGCATAGGTGGAATATACAATCCTCCAGTCATCAATAGGTAAAAGTACAAAAAATATAAAATCTTATCATTTGAACAGTGAATTTTTTTACTAACAGCTTGAACTATCTTTCTACCAAATGCTAAGAAAGAACATGTATTTAATAGGACTTAAAAAGGGGGAGATAACGGTCCCATTCTCCCTGAGGCATAAAAATCTTTATTTGCAACTATAAGCCAAGTAACATCTGTCATGTTTTCTCTACTTAGTTTTAACTAGACCAGTGAGATCTGTTTGTGACTCACTCACTGCACTTTCTACGGCTACTGCTACAACTATGAAGTAACCCAAATTTATTTGATTGGTCCCCTTTGTAACAGCATTAATAGCACATACTTATTTAAGTATCAAGTAAGTATAACAGTAAGAAATTCCTACCTGAACTCACCACGATAGAACTTCTGTAAAGCTTCTGGGAAGGAATGTGTGTATCGAACAGGCAGACATAAATGACCTTCAGACCTTTGTTTTCAAAGGGATGTTCGGATGGTACAAAAGGGAGAGAGAAAAAGAGTTAAAGGAAGGAAAAAGAGTAACAGTGAGCTACAAAAATCAGACATGAGGGGCTGGAGAGATGGCTCAGCGGTTAAGAACACTGGTTGTTCTCACAGAAGACCTAGGTTCAAATCCCAGCACCCACATGGCAGCTAACAACTGTCCATAACTCCAGTCCCAGGGGATCTGACAGCCTCTTCTGATCTCTGCGAGCATTGCACAACATGGGTGCACTGACCTATATACAAGCAATACATGCATACACATAAAAATAAAAATAATAACTTTTTAAAAATCAAAAAAAAATTAGACATGAAATTTTCAAAATGTCTACTCTGTTCTTATTTGCCACAAAAATGTCTTTACTTCCAATAACAGTAACAACAACAAAGACCAAACCAATCATAGCCTGCATCCAGCTTCAATAAAACAGAGTAACATCCAAGTTTCCACATTATAGTAAAACTAAAAGTAAATTCGCTACTGATTACCCTGTAAAGTTATCTATAGTGGGACATATATATACATACACACACACACACACACACACACGTGTGTGTGTGTGTGTGTGTATAAAAAATACTGGAATGCTTGAATCTTATCTTCAAATTATTTAAATATTAACTTCATATTAAGCCACTTTAATGTCAGTCTCCTTGTTTCTAAAATTCTGATTGAATAACCATGAAAGATTATTCTAAAGAATTAAACTATGTGAAAGTGCAATCTTTAAAAATATCACTTAAGATATCCTAAAACAAAGAACTGAAAAAGTTTATCCAAATGTAACCCTTCATTTATTAAAACATACACAAGGATGAACTCTAAGAAACTCACAGCTTGATGTGGAAGACAAACTACAACACGTACTTTTGGGGCTGGAAAGATAGCTCAGCAGTTAAGAGCATGTAAGCAGCACACAACCAGCTTTAACTCCAGCTCCATGGGAATCTATCGTCCTCTTGTGGCCTCAATGTGCACATACCCCCCCACATATACGCACAATTTAATATAAAACTAAATTTTAAAAAAAGAAGTAACTGCAAATAACAAAGAGGTAAGAGTCCTTACAAGCTGCTATAGGACATGACAATATTCAACTCCTAAAGATTTCCAGAAATCGTCACCATTATATGATGCTCTGGTCTTGAAGGAATGCCTAAGGGTAGACTTGGCAAAACAAATTCCTGTTAACTAATAAGCAAAGAAAGATTTTTACAAAGTATAGTTAATTTCTTCATGTACATAGGTCAATGCTGAATATCAGGTAGGGCCTGATTTTTAATTTTTTGGTATTTTGTTATTGTTAATGTTTTAAGACAAGGTATTACTATGTAGCCAAGACTGGCCTTGAACATTCTATTCTCCTGCATCACGCTCCAGCATCATCAACTATATAAAAGGTTATATAGTCATTTGCTAAAACAATACCTTCTGAGATCAACTGGAAGTCCAAAATACTGTCAACAGAAGCCTCTCTCATGAGGTTATATACTCACGTATCAGCCTGGGTTCTAGGCATTGAGGGCCTGACTTATCTACCAGCTCTATTTCCATGATTGCTCAAAGCTAAAAAGCTATAGGTAGGAGGCCTCAATTCCTCTCAAGGTAAGCATCTCTCCGCAGAGTTACTAGAGTGACCTCATATCATGTTAAATTACCACAGAATAAGCAATCAAAAAAAAAAAATCAGAAGCTGCAATGTATCACTTACAATCATTTACAACAGTCTTGGAATTTTCAGTGTCACACCATATTCACTGGTCCCATAGGTCATCCCTGACAGAAAATGGAGGGGTGCATTGAGCGGTACCTAAGTGGAATACTAGGGTGCTATCTTGGATGTTGAATACCATGGCCTTCTATTGATTTTTTCAGAGTAAGCATTCAAATGTTAATTATTTATCAGGCTCAGGAGAGTCAGTGTAGTAGACAGAAAAGACAGACTGAAATGCTTTCAACTGTGATGAGCTCATGTGAACAAGCCATCTTGGAAACTGATGTTCCAGCCCAAAAGAAGCCCTTGATTCTGCAGCCCCAGTTGACCTCTATAACCTCATGACAAGTTGTTAGTGCAGCTTTTCTTCCTCTCTATTTTCTACTTAGAATAACAGACTTAAGAAGTTCTTTATTTTCTCTCCTGGTCTCTCATTAGGCCTCATACTCTGCTCACCTTCTGTTTACAAGTTTCTAAATCCACAAGTTATGACTATTCCACCAGCTTTTTAAAGGAAAATATAATTTAGCAACTATAAAATATCCCTAAAATTAACAATGTCTTACCTTAATGATATAAAAACTGGCTATTAAGAACTTCTAAAATCCACAAGCATCAACACTGAAGGCAATCAAAGATTAATTATTAAATTAATGATATTAATTATATAAACTCAAAGAATATAAATTTAGCTAGGCTGAAGTCCTAGGCCTACTCCCTAAGATCATTTAATTAATCATTCGCTCTTCAAAAGTTTACTGACTGGGGACTGGAGAGATGGCTCAGCAGTTAAGAGCACTGGCTTCTCTTGCAAAGGGACCAGGGTTCGATTCCCAGCACCCACATGGCAGCTAACAACTGTCTATAAACCCTGTTCCAGGGGAATCCAACAGTCTTTCTGACCTCCTCGGGCATTGCACAATACAGGTGCATTTACACACACTCAGGCAATACACTCATATACACAAATAAAAATATTAAATTTTTTTTAAAAGTTTACTGACTACTAAAAAAAAAAGTTTACTGACTACTATGTGAAAAACTATGTTAGTGATAAAAAAAAAAACTAAAATACAAGGTTCTACACTCAAAAGAATGTATAGTCTAACTGAAGAAACAAACAAACAGAAAATAACATGAAGAGTGCTGTCTGTGCAGGAAGGAAGTTACAGATGGAGGCCAGGAGAGGAAGCAGTCTTGAATAAATAAGAACCATAGCCATAAACTTTTACACTCCATCTTGAAGGAATGGCCATGAGTAAACTTGGCATAAATACAAGGACACTCTTGGCAGAGGGACATAAAAAAGCATGAAATAACAAACGCCTTCTGGAGAACTCGTTCCTTCAAATTATGCACTATCCTTTATGTCAACACAGCCTCTGACCAGAGTCAAAGCATCCCTGAGTCAGTATCTAACCATGGTGTGAACAGATGCTCATATAAAGTTAGATTGTACACTAAGCCTTTAAGAAAGATTCTAGGCTGCTCCTAGAAGTTTCGATCCACACATGCATTTTTGGACTCAAGAATATATAGTGCCTGTGAATATACAAGGATACAGAGAAGCAGCATATGGCAAAAGGTCACGTATATTAACTAGGGGGAACTGCAATGTGTCCTGAAGATCACAGGGAACTCCTAAAAGATTTCAATGAAGGGGTGACTACGATCAAACTTGCACTTTAGAAAGGCCATGAGTTAAGTCACAGCTTACATGTAAAATGTCTTCTACAGACTTCAACGTTTCAAACACCTGGTTACTGAAATACATTTTGTTTAATTTATTATTTTTATTTTATGTGTATGCGTGTATTGCCTGCATGTAGGTAAGTGCACCTATGTTGTGCAACGCCCGCAGAGGTCAGAAGAGGCTGTCGGATCTGCTGGGACTGGAGTTACATACAGTTGTTAGCTGCCATGTGGGTTCTGGGATTCAAACCCGGGTCTTCTGCAAGAACAACCAGTGTTCTTAACCGCTGAGTCATCTCTCCAGCCCCTGAAATACTTTCAGTCAACCTCTGAAGGCCTAAGCTACATTAAGTGGTAGCGAGAATGGCAAGAGATAAATTCAAAGGCAGGATTCCTAGAACTTATTACCAGTTTGATGATGGAGTGAAAAGGTGGTCACAACTTCATCACAGGTAATAACTCCATTTTTCAAGAATGGAGCAGAAAAGTAGAGATCAGTTGTCGACACACTGCTTTTTTTGTGTATGAGTATTTGCCTGCATGTATATAAGTACACACATGTATGGAATGCCTATGAGGACCAGAAGAAGGCATCAATCCTCTGTAACTGGAGCTACAGAGGGTTGTTAGAAGCCACATAGATGCTGAGAACTGAACCTGGGTTTTCTGCAAGAACAGTCAGTGTTCTTAACCACTCAGCCATCTCTCCAGCCCTCACATGTTGCTTTTTTTAAAATAACCAACTAAAAGCCAATGTGCTAGAATAGTGTAAGAAAAAGAAAAATAAGATGAGATAAAGACAGAAAATAGTCAGGAACCAGATAATTTAGAGCCTTGGAAGTCACAGTGTAAGTGACCACCTGTGGAACAGTTTGCCTGGGACCGCCTGAGATAAAGAACTTAATTGTTAAAGCTAGTAAAGGCCAAGGAAAGGCAGGATGAGTTGGCTGTGCTAATCACAGCAAAGAATTGGACTAATTCTAGCTGGAGGGGGAGGTACCACGGATTCTGAGCAGATACAGTATGTAGTGTCGTCACTGAGTACAGTGAGAACACTAAGGATAAGAATGGAAGCAGAAGATGGCACAGAGAAGAACGGAGAAAAAAATGGCCACAAGTACGATCTGTGAAAACACAAGCACTGAGGTAGTGAGCAAAAGTAAGTGTTTCCAAAAGAAATACAAAGAAGTCACAGAGATAGGAAGAAAATGCCAATATAAGAGACCATCTACACTTAAAACCCCAGACTCAAGTTAAGATAAAGATTAAAATAGCCACTACATTCAGGATTATCACTGGTCTCTAAAGTGGTCTTCACCGAAAAGCATTATCAATGAACTCAAAAGTTGAAAACAAATCCAGAAAAGTCTGCAAAGATTTAGGAAACAGGATATATTTTGGACTAAAGGGAAAAAGTAGCTGCCACAGGGAATGAGGAAGAGCTGAGCAGGACCACAGGGATGTGGGCAACTCTGAAGATTCTGCCAAGTACTGAAGGTACAGAGAAGGTCGGAGAAAAAAATGGCCAAAAGTACGATCTGTGAAAACACAAGCACAAATTTCTAAGATACTTTTCCCCGGATGGCTTTTTCAAAGCTAAGATAAAGAGTGGAAAGGATGACAGACTAATCTAGAACTGAACAGAAAGATGATTTAAAAATATTTAAGATGCCCTTAAGAAAACAAATGAGGAAAAGAGAGACCTGATCACTGAATATTAAAGGGCAAATTCAGGTAGATGAAGGAGTAAGACTAATACTAAGGTAGAGAGGGTGTGGTCCTACCAGAGATACTGCAGAGTTGGGAAATTATGGTTGGTTATAATGTCTAGGAATAGTCATGGCTGTGAATGGCCAGAATCAAGTAAGGGTGAGTTTGAAGCTGGTTAAGAAAAACTAAAGTTTTCAGACAAAAAATATTCTTTAAGTCAAGGAAGTCAACCCAGAAAACTCAGTACAGGTTCAACCCTGAACTGTAAGTGAGAACCACAAGGAAGGGTAGATGACACATCAGTAACGCCGAGGGTCTCCAACAGTCACTTGGTCAACTGTTTATTTTTAAATTTTACCACTAAATTATTTTTGGAACATGGTTCTAATGTTCACGGTAGCCAGGAACAATGATGCTTGCACTTACACATCATGCACTGTAGCAAAATCTATGAAGCAAGAGAACCCAGCAATATGACTACAATAGATGAATTAAAGAATAACTTCTAAAGTTTAAGATTCATCACAAATGGGTAACTACAAAAAGCAAAGCAGAAATGTCTATGTGTAGAATATTTTTTAAAAATTAGATCTTACAAACCAAGCAGAAAATAAATATGATTTTACTTACCGTTCTGGATCCGTGTTGACCCCTACAACTGGTTTAAGTCTGTCTAAGACTTTACTTGCTGCCAGAAGCATTGTGCCATCCCCTAACAGAGTACAAGACATTACCAGAGTTGTGTTATAAATCAATATTTAACATCATTTTGAAAACTAGTACAATCATACCTCACCCAGCTGACTGCCATGGCCTAGCCGTTCCTGTCGACTATATTTATGCACTGTGCCAGGACTTCAACACTGCAAGACTGAGGAAGCTACCCTGCAAAGGGGTGTGTGGTAGCACTTCTGTCCTCTACCCGTTAGATGACAATAACCCCACCCAAATGGGAATTACTGCTCTACACCCAAACATTTCCTTCCCTCTCCTGTAACATCAGTCCAAATTTATGATATTTTAGTGAGAACATTCAACCATGTCCAAATTACTTTTTTTCCAACCATTGTCAATTTAAAGCTGGATACAGTGGTCACTAATAATAATAAAATTCAGAACAAAGCAAGTATAGGTATATTGTGGTCAAATAATGAGATAACTTTTCTAATTTTCACCTTTGATTTTTTATTAGAGCTCGCAGAATTAAGCCAAAATACACTTACAACTCATCTTCTGAATGTGGAATTAAAAACCCTTAAATCTATGGAAAACACACACAGAGAACCTGAGAGTTCCACTGTACTAGCCCTAAAAATCCAAACAATTGTCTTCTGAAGGACCCTTGAAGGAATCAAGTATCTAGACTCCAGGGTATGTATACAGAAAAGGATTTCCATATCACACAGCCTTGCCTCTATAAAGTGATTACCTCCTGCAGCTATGACAGCATCTGCCCATCGAACGGTCTCTTCATCATACTCCCTCCTCTTTACTAGACGAACCTCAATCCCCTCATTCCTAGGATAAAAAAAGTTACACACATTTTCTACTGGTAGCATATGTAAGAAGAACATATTTTCTGTAGAGGCAGACTATAACAGAGATGTAAAATGTATGATACAGTTTACAAAGTTGGCTTTATTTTCATTCAATATATTTCATTACAATAGCCAATTAATTATGGCAGGTCAGGAAGCAAATGAATAAAAGAAAAATAAACAACACCCAAATCTCCATGTTCCTTAAAAGCATTTTTAGAACTACTAACAGTAATACTCATTGGCCAGAATTTCATTTTCCTTTATTGCTTATGATGAAATTTATTAATACAAAAATTGTTAACAGATTAACACTTAAGTATTTATTAGAAAACCAAAAAATGTTACCTGAAATTCAACAGCATTCACTGAGTGGCAGACATTGAAACACTGACTAGAACACTCGGTGAACAGCATGTTCTTACACTGATTCTGTTATATTCAGTTAAATGTACAATACAAATCTCCTTAGAAAACTATAAAATAGGGTCCATGAACCTCAATATAATTTTCTGGAAGTGAATAATGACAAGTTTTACTAAAAGAAATCTAAGCATTAGCTTCTAGTACAAAAATCAGGAGTCCTGAATGTAAAAGCCCATCCAAGACCCTATCCCACACACTTACCGTAAACTATCGATTATATGCTCTACATTTTTGGTGTGAATACGATGTCGCTCAAGTAGTCCAGTGTAGCTGGAGCCTTTCAATGCAAGCTATCAAAATAAAAGAAATGCCTTTTTACTATGTGAACTATTACATATAACACAATGTCATTAAAAAGCCTTATGTAGAAATCCACTGGGGGAGGGGGGCTTATGGGGAGGGAGCCTAAATTTGATTAAGATCTATTATATGAAGTACACAAAAGTTCAGTAAAAATATTTTTTTAATATTTTTTATTATTTATTATCTTTTTAAATTTTATTTATTATTTATGTGTATGTGTGTATTATCTGTATGTGTGTAAGTGCACCCGTGTCGTGCAATCCCCATGGAGGTCAGCGGGCGTCAGACCCCCTGCCACTGGAGTTATGGACAGTTGTTAGCTGCCATGTGGGTGCTGGGATTCGAACCCGGGTCTTCTGCAAGAACATTCAGTGTTCTTAACTGCTGAGCCATCTCTCCAGCCCCAGTAAAAATATTTTTAAGAAAGAATAAAAAGATTTTTAAAAGCCTTATGTAAAAAAAAAGGTAAGGCACATTTTAAGAACTACTTATGAAACTCAAGAGTTCAAATTGAACTATAAGGCTGAATCTCAGAAAAATTATAATTTGGTTTTAATATCAAATACAGCATTAAGTTTTCTGAATCATGGGGCTGGAGAGATGGCTCAGCAGTGAAGAACACTGGTTGTTCTTGCAGAAGACCCAGGTTTGAATCCCAGCACCCACATGGCAGCTAACTGTCCGTAACACCAGTCCCAGGGGATCCGACAGCCTCTTCTGACCTCCGCAGGCATTGCACGATACAGGTGCACTTACCTACATGCAGGCAATACACACATACACATAAAATAAAAATAATAAATAAAAAAAATATTTTTAAGTTTTCTGAATCATGCAGTCATCAGCATCTTATGTGTACATGTATGGCTTTCTTTAAAAATGATTTTCTGCCAGATTAATTTTGGCTACCTGAAGGCCAAAGACAAACTAGTACTGTCATAGCCAGTTAGATGACCTTTGACCCACTTGGACTTGCTCTCGTGTTCAGGTTTGTGGACTCTTGGAACTCGCCCTACATAATCTAAGCAAAGGGCTGGTTAGCTCTCTGAGAAAGGATAACGTTCAGATATACAGACATATAGTCTTTAAGAATTTTTCTCCCTAGGTGACTGGAGTAATAGTTATATTTATCTTATCATTACAAACTTCTAAATAATCCAAAAAATTAAAATGGAAAGTACTTGACCAAAATCATAAATACATTATTTTATTTCATAGTATTACTTACTAAGTTATAGAGTAAAACTGACTTCTAAAAAGTAATTTAATGTGTACTTTATTTAGGGGAGAATTGTCTGATTCTTACTGTATAGCCCAGGCTAGCCTCAAACTTGTTCTCTAGCCTCCACCTCCTGAGTGCTTTTATTACAGGTGTGTGCCACCATGCCTGGCTTGTTTTTACTTTTTATTTTTTAAAGAGTATTTCTTAATTTGATAATTGTATTTTACTTCTTCTTTTTTTTTTTTTTTTTCGTCTTTTTGAGACAGGGTCTCCCTATAGCCCCAGCTACCCTTGAACTCACTATGTAGACCAGGCTGGCCTTGAACTCACAAAGATCCACCTGCCTCTGCCTCCCAAGTGCTGGGATTAAAGGCGTGTGCCACCACACCCGGCACTGTATTTTACTTTTTAAAGGTTACAAATATAGCATTAATACGGAAGATATATATTTTTTAATTAAAACATAAAATTTTACTACTAAGGAATAATTAGTATTGATCATTTTGATGCCAACCATTCCAATCTTTTGTTTATGAATATTGGATTAAGAAGAGTGTTAAAAATAGTTTTGTCCTCTATCATCTAAAAAGAAATGTAGAGCTGGGTGTGGTGGCACACACCCTTGATCCCAGCACTCTGGAGGCTCAGGCAGGCAGATCTCAGTGAGTTCAAGACCAGCCTGGTCTACAGAGCAAGTTTCAGATCAGCTGGAGCTATATGGAGACACTGTCAAAAAAGAAGAGGAAAAGGAAGGAGGGAAGGAGGGAGGGAGGGAGGAAGAAATGTACGGTCCCCCAAAGAAAGCTGAGGAAAATATTTGGATATTGTAAAAATTAATAGATGGATGCTAAATGAGATGTGACAGCCTGTAACAGTTTGATTTCTGCTCATAAGTCTCATTACATTTAGAGCAAACCCATGTCAAGAATGCTCTTAAAAAAGAGCAATGACCAAGGTAGTAACTAGGAAATTCTTCATTACTTTAACCAACAAGTCTAGTTTGTTTCTGATTATGGACAAACAGCGTTAACATTGGGATTACTATCTTCATTAGTCAGCCACAGGCCTCTAAAACTGCACCAACTATTTCTCAGTGAGTATAAACCAAAATGCCTTTTTTCTCAAACCTTCCCCTCTGTGATATCTGGTTCTATGGCTTTACAAAGAACCTATATGCTGATACTAAGGATTTTTGATTGCTATCCCAACCCCTTTAGGACCCAACATGAATCTACCCATGTGCCCATTTAACATTTTTCTTTAGATAGCTAACAAGCATCTTAAACTAGTATGTCCAATAGCAAGCCCTTAATTTTCTGCTCCAGGGACTCCCCAATAGCTTAAGTCAAAACTAGAGCCACACTTGAGATCACTTTTTCCCTTATTCCCACATCCAGTTACTAACTCCTAAGAGTCATTCGTGCACATCTTTGCTCTTCATCACCACCACAATGATCTCCCATTTGGAGAATTGCACAAGCCTCTCATCAGGGCTCCCTATTTCTACTCTTAGACCAGAGGCTACTCCCCACACAGAGATGCACTCAACACACTGGTGTAAAAGTATGAGTTCCCTAGCAATTCTCCCTCTACTCTTCTCTTTGCACATGCAAGAATGTTCTCTCTCCTACAGCCTAACCCTGGGCTCTTCCCAGCCTTGACTTATAGGGACAGCCTGACCACTGATATAGCCAGTCCCTGCTGATGCTGTCACTTAGCTGCAAAAGCAACCAGAGACAATTACCCCATCCCAAAGTCTGTGAGTTCCCACCACTGAATCTGCTACACCTAAAATTATCATATTTTCTTTAATCTATTGTGTCCCCTTACCAGTATATAAAGTATCAAGACAGTAGTGGTCCTATCTTGCTCACCACTGTACCCTCAGGACATAGTCACTGGATAAGTATTTGCTGAGTGAATTCATTCATGCATGTTTTAGCTTTTTAGGTTTTTTTGGGGGGGGGGTAGGGAGGGAAGGGCTGTTGTGGATGCATGTTTCAGAAAAGCATCAACAGTGCACAAGCAGACGCAAAGAGGAGAAGCCTGTGCATGACCACTTGGTCAGGACTGAGAAGACGCCGAGTTAGTCATGGGGGTATGCTGTTTTGTGATAGCTAACATCATACATAATTTCACTTTAGAAGTGAACATTTCACAAAGCTAGAAGTAAAGATTTTATGTGTAATATATATACTTAAATATTTAAGCAGCTCAGAATTTCATATGAAATTCTTAAAAATAAAAAATGTTTTGTAATAAAAAAATGAGTACCTGATACTGCTTATTTAAGTATTAGTTGAGTTTAATCAAATATATTAAGTAGAGCAGTAAAAATGGCCAAGGACAATGAAAACTAATTTGAATGTATAATAAACATATTAGAATAGTTTCATCACTTATTTATCGATTTCATTCTTTAGTTGCAAATTCTGACTAGCTATAAATAAAACTTATGGGTAGCTGGCATTCATTCTTCAATATTCTGTCCAAATTTGGGTCTTACGTTCCAATTTTTAGTTTGGACCACTCTGGAACAAAAGACATAAACACGAGGCTAAGAAACTTCAGTTTTGATTTCCTGATTCTCAGAAATTAAGATAAAGGTTAGCAATGGGGCAGAAATGTCACTTCACAAATTCTTATCCCGGTCAAATATCTTCTTGGGAGCTAACTCCAATAGGATGTCAACAATCCCTTGGAGAATGCAAATTTCTGTGTTCACTTCATTCCAGCACCACCTGGTAGGAACAAGGACCCGCCACATAGCAGATGAGAGAAAACATTAAGAAAATCACTTTCAAAACTCAATGGAATGTACTAAACCACTATATAACTGGTTCTTACATATAAGATGCAAAATGTTAAGAATTTATAGCTAGATCCCTGAAAATAACATGGCTCAAATAGCCAAAAACATGCCCTCATCAGAAAAATATCAACTACATAGGAATGCTTATAAAATGGTTTACAATTAAAAAATTAGAGAAATTATAGTACATTCTGAATTTTGCAATGTTTCACACATTTATTTATAAGATTTTTCAAAAACTGTATTCATTAAAGAAAGAAATAAAAACATTATTCAACTTGAAAAAAGTAGATGAATCTACAAAAAAAATATAGACAGACACATTACAGGACAAGCAACAGCATCTCTCCTACAAAAATCATCAAAAGCCAACATCGCTTCTCCTCACTTGCCCTTGATGCTAAAACACTAAGCAGCATGAAAGAAAGAGCACAGATTTGCCATATCTGAAGGTCAGATATGCTATTTCCTAAATGGCTTACATTTTTATTAAATTACAACCAACAGTTTTACTTGGCTCAAACTGAAGTCATTACAAATTTTTAAAACTTGCTTTACCAGTTAGTTATTGTTATTTTGTACTCTACACAATTTCCATGAAAGTTCAATAAACAGTGTTATTAAATTTAACACATAAATGCACAACTGTGTAAGACAGTGACAGCTTGCTATGTGAACTCACTAGACATAATTCAAGCATCCTTTGTACACTTAACTAAATGGTATACTATTACTCAAAATTACTTCAAAAGCATTATTAGCACCTATTCAACAGCTACAGAGGCAACTGCTCCCTTTTCAGGATCGGGCCTAGCCCGCTGACTCCTGAGGACTCCAGATGTAACTGACACTGACCCTGGACGATTTCCAGGTCTCCTTTATCTCACAGGTGATAACCTCTTTCCCAGGGTTCTCTATGCCAGTATTCTTTGAATAGTTCATTCTATTTACTT